GTACATGTATATTTTCATTTCTTACCTAGGAATAGAATCTCAAGTTATATGGAGACTATGTTTGGTCGTTTGAGGAATTTCTAGAAAAACAACTTTTCTAGTTCTTAATTCCTTCATTTGTAAAGTGGAGATGATAATGGTGTCTATTTCATAGAGGGTTGTTTTTTGTTTTTGTTTTTGTGGGGATTCAGTTAGAAAATGAATATATGGTTCTAGCTCAGTACCTGCAAATGGAGACTGAGTAATGAAGGCTATTTTTATTATCATCTGGTCTGGACTCTTCCACTTGCATGCTGGGTCCATCTCACTCTTGGGGCCTGAATTCCTTGTCTGTCAAGCAGGAAGACTAATATTCAGTGATGAATACAGAATGACTTGGAAAAGGAAGGTGTAGAGGGGCTGAGTTGTTGCTCCTGGCAGGGTCTACTTCCTCTTCCTTCTCCACCCCTCCTGTTTCACCCTTTTTCCTGGTGCTAATTAGTGGGTTCTTGGTATCCAAGGGGCCCAGCTCCAAGTTCCAGCCCTGCTTCATCTGGAGCTCTGGAATCTGATCCTTGATGTCCTTACAGATTCTAAGAAGATGCCTGGGGGCAGGAAGAGAAGATGTCATGCCCAGGGACTCCAAGTAAGGGTTTGTTCCAGATACTCCATGCTCCCAAGTGAGCTTCAGCTTGGAATGATCAGAAGTTAGACCTCCAAATGGATTGTGTGGGTGGTGCATTTTGGGAAGGTATGGGGCACGCTTTCACCTCTCAATAGTTATTGGAGTCATTCTTAACTGCTGTTTCTGTTAAGGCTTATTTTACATATACTGTTACATGTGCTCACACTTCTATGAGTATTCTCAGATTTTGATATATAAGATTAAAAAAGCTGCTTACTCAAATTTGTAGCAGAGATCTGTAGAGAGGCTGTTGGTTTTATGAACTGTAACACCACTCTTTTTTCCCTTTTCAAGAAAGCTTGTAGGAAAGGAAATAAGGGAGTGTCACATTCTAGGGATAGTGTGTCACCCAGAGAGGAGGTCCATTCTGCCCATCTTGGCCTTCATGGAGCCCCTGCCACCTTGCCTTCCTCAGCATCTGTTGGTCTGGATTTTGTCCCATCTCCTTCAGGCCAGTCATTCCTCTCTCCAACTAGACCAGCAGCATTGTGTTGTGGAGGGAGCTAGACTTCTGAGTCAGGTAGCCCTGGGTGCAAATCCTCTCCGCAGCAGTCGCTGTCAAACCTTCAGCAAGTCCCTCAGCCCTGCTAAACCTCAGTGTCCTCATCTTTAAATGGGAATAACTCCTCTCTCAGAGCATTAGAGTACAAGGACTTACCACATATGTTTTGTACACAGACTCTCCAGGTGCCTTTCATACATAATCTCTAATCCCTTCACCCATGATGTGGTGGGTGCTATCCTTGTTGTCCAGCTGAGGCTTAGAGTGTTCAATGGCTAACGTAGTAAGGGTGGTCTGTGCCCTGTCATCCCTTTGGGCCTTACCTTGACTTCTGCCTTATGGCTGCCAGCATCAACACCTCTTTCCTATGCCTGGGGAACCCAGCACAATAAGGTTTGATGGAAGGCAGTGCCTCACCTCCCACCTCAGAAGCCAGAGTGTTGTTGGTTGCTTGCTTTTCCTGACCCCCCACACGGGGAGTGAACACTAGACTCAGCCAATTGGATGCTCCCATCTGGGACTTTGAATCTGGGGAAAATGACACCAAGAAGCAGTGGATAGTTGAGAACTCATTCTGACAGCAGCAGGAGCATCCTGTGGCTGGTCTTGGTGGTGGATGCTGTGCTCCATGGCCACAGTTCCAGCAATCAGGTTACTCCAATGGCAGGAGCTTGGAGCTTGGCTGTGACTCAGGCCACCTGGGCTCCTTTGGCATCTGCCTACTCTCCTTCTTGTCAATTTTGTGAGATTCTTGATACTCTTCCTCAAGTTCCTCCTCAACTTAAGTCACTCAGACTCGGTTTCTGTTGTTTGTAATCAAGAACTCTGCGTAGCAGCTATGTGTCCCCAACGACAGTCCTCTGGTATTTCTGAACCTTTTCATTTTCTGCCTAATACTCCCATCCGAATGCTGGGAGTCATTTGCCTCTGCTTTGTGCCAGTCTCAGTCTGTCAGTATTGGCTAGAAATGCCAGGGGGCACTCACCTGGCCCTGGTGAGCTTCCCGCAGACATCTTCCCTTTCCAAACCAATGTTGTGACTGGATTGACCCTTGTAGTTCTTATGATTATAAGGCACCTTTCAGTAACAACCATCAGGAAACTTTGAATAAATAAAGATTTATTATTTACAAGACCTGGAAATTACACTGCACACCTGAGGCTACACAGGAAAGTTGCAGGTAAAGGGAACACATGGGCCTGGGGTTCTGTTTTTACTGGGGTAGAGGGTGGGGGACCTAGGGTTTTATAGACATGCTCTTTTTTTGGTGAATTTAAAACATAAGAGCAGGAATTTAAAGCTCAGGAAGATAAAAGAAAAGAGGCCCAAATGGTCAGTTATCAAACTCAACCAAGATCTCTAAAACAAAGGAGCATGGCTGTCTGCAGCATCCTTTAGCCCAACCCTCGGGTCTGGAGGTGTTGCTGTTAGCAGTGTACATCTGTTGTTTTTATCTGCCCCAAATACTCTTCTTAAGAGATGGTCCTTTCTCCCCTTCCACTGGTGGCTGGGGCTGCCGGTCACAAGACCTGCTTTCTATTCCAAGGGGTGGGCGCCTGATCCATCAGGTGGACGGGGAGTGTGAAAATATTAAAAAAAAATGCATTGGGAGAGAAGAGTTCTTTCTTTCCCCTTACCTATGAAGATATATCTTACCTATGAAGCTATAACCTTGGAGTTGCTTCTGACTGTGTTCCTTGCCAGAAGAAGGAAGGAAGCTGTATTAGTTTCCTAGGGCTGCCATAACAAATCACTGCACAATTAGATGGCTTAAACCAGCAAAAATTTAATTTCTCACAGTACTCAAAGAAGTTCAAAATCAAGGTGTCATCAGGGTTGGTTCCTTCTGGGGGTTCTGAGGAAGAATCTGTTCCATGCCTCTCTCCTGGCTTTTGGAGGTATCTGGCAGTCGTTTGCATTCCTTGGTTTGTAGACACATCACTCCCACCTGCCTCCATCCTCATGTGGCTGTCTTCCTTCTGTGTATGTCTCTGGCCAAATTTCGCTCTTCCTATCAGGATACTAGTCATTGGATTAGGGTCCACCCTACTGCAGTATGACCTCATCTTAACTTGATTAAATCTGCTAAGACCCTATTTCCAAATAAGGTCACATTCATAGGTTTGGGGGTGAATATGAATTTTGGGGGACATTACTTAACTCAATACAGAAGCTAAGTTAGCTAAGGGTCAAGAGGTGGAAAGAGAGAGAACCTTAATGACAATTTATTAATTCCTAAACCCAATCAGCCTGGATGAAGTGAGCTTCACCCTGGACCTTCCAGATATGTGAGCTAAGACATTTCATTTCCTTTAAGCTAGTCTGAGTTTGGTTTCCAGCACTTGTAACTGAAAAAGTCCTGACTAATATAGAGGTGAGTGAAAAACCGGAATAAAGCCAGCTGGGATTTTAACAAGAGACCAAAATGCAGTAAGAAAATGTGAGTTTCCTTTCTCTATTCCTTTCCTTCTATGCAATATGCCAGTCTCAAGACATAGCACTCCCTGCATCATGCTGGTCTTCAGAGTCTTCCAGGGTCACCCTGGTAGGAATGTTCTCCAGGGAAAGAGTTTACCCCTTTATTTACTTCTTTCTTTTGCATGATTGGACCCAAATACCCAAGAAATTGGGATAAAAAATGAGCCATATTTGGGAGCTGATCATTGGAGGTATAGGGACACAGGTAGGGTTGGAGGTTTGATTCAATTGAATAATACAGCTTATTCTTTGTACTTGGCACTCAGCACATTGCCTGACACATGGTAGATGCAAAATGAATATTTATTGACAGGGTGAGGGAAATAGCATATATTGTTTATGGGGGAAAATTAACCGAAGCATACACGATATGATCCCAGCCCTTGGGGCTCTCAGTGTAGATGGGCAGATAATATGCCCTCACAAAGTAATTACATAATAACATGAGAAGATCCACAGTCCAAACATTTGGGACTCTAGGGAGGAAGGGTGGAGGTTTAAGAGAGAGAGAAAGATCCCTGGGGTTTGGGTGCGGCTGTTAAGAGAGGATTCGGGGAGGAGGAATAAGTTAGTTGGGTCTGGAAGGACAGGGCTCTTCTGCTAAAGAAGAGCAGAGTGGAAGTATGGAGAATGGAGCTTTGTGTCCTCCCCGGGGGATGTGTAGGATGGCCAGGCAGAGGTGTGTGTGCGGGGGGGTCTGGTTGGTGATGGGGAGGTAAGAGTGAAAAGGAAAAGTCTATGGGCCAGGAGGTGTCTCTAGGAAGCCAAGATCCTGCTCTTGCAAGCTCAAAAAGAACAGAGACGAACCCTTATCTCTCCCATCCATCTAGATTTCATGTTGGGCCAAGATGTGAGGCTCCCAGCTCAGGCACGCAATGATGGGGTTTATATGCTCTGTGGGTTTGTGTGTGGCTAATCTGTGGTTTAACATTGCTATGGTTTGGGGTTTGTCTGTTCCTTTAGAAGCTTCTGGTTGTATATGACAGAAATTAGGGCACTGTTGGAGCTTTTCTCTTTTGCTTGTTACGATTACGCAGCAGGAGACAATCCAAGCTAAGGGCTGATTCTAGTGCTCACCATCCTTGATTTGATCCTACCCTCCATCTATGTTGACTCAGTTGCTTCCCTCCTCAAGGCCTGGCAGGGGAGAGAAGCAGGAAAGGGAGTGATTCTTTGTGGACTTGACAGCTGATTCTTCCGCATTTTTAGATTCTTGCTTGTGGGCCAGGGGGACTAACGGTGACCTCTCTCCTGGGTCTCTGCCTCCAACTCCCACCTCCCAGCCCTCTTCCTGCCAGATTCCCTCAGGGGTTTCTCTCTAGGTTAGAAATGGTTCTGGGTGTGAGTGAATGTCTTCTACTCTCCCGTGGCCTCCTCATCCACAGCAGCCTGGATATTCCCGGCCGCTTGCAGGCCAGAATTGATAGCAGTGTCTATCCAGCCATGGGGCAGGCTGGTGTGCTCGCCTGCAAAGTGGATGCGGCCCTCGGGCTTGAAGAGCTCCTGTGAATAGTCGATAAACTGGTAGGGTGTGAACTCAGTGAAGGCACCCATGGTGAGGGGGTCTAGAGACCAGCGCTTAACCACGGAGGAGGGGCACATGCGCCGCAGCTCCTCCTTGGGTATCTGGTGCACGGCCGCCAGGTCCTCCAGGACCACAGCCTCCAGCTGCTCGTGCGTCATGGATGTGAAGAAGAGAGAGTCATCGTCCACGGTGTAAGAGGCCAGCAGGATGCTCTTGCCACTGGGGAAGCTGTGGCTGGGGTAGTAGATGTAGCGCGAGGGCCTGTCGGTGACAGAGACCCCCCCCCGGATGCCATCCCGCTCCCAGAAGGGCTCCTCACAGGCCAGGATCACCTTGGTGGCACTGGCATAATGCACCGAGCGGAGAGCTTCCGTCTTGTCTGGGGAGAGCGGTGGCTTAAAGGTGATGAGGCGCGTGGCCTTGGCTGAGGCCGTGATGATGACAAAGTCTGCGGTGAGGGTGTTCAGTGCCCACCTTGGCTTGCCCAGCTGGTAGGAGACCCGGACTTCAGGCCCATCCCTCACTACCGCCTCCACGTTGGAGCCCAGGCGGATGGTGCCAGGCTTCAGGCGAGCGCTGAGGGCTTTGGGGAGCTGGTCGAAGCCACCGGTGATCTCGGAAAAGCTGCAGGGGTGAGGGGAGGGCAGAAGGGGAGTGTGGGGGCACTGGGCCCCTTTGCTGAGTTGCTGACAGCCTTCCTGGTCTGAAAAGCAAGGAAACTAGCTTCCTGCAGCCTGTGCGGGATGCTTCATATACATCTCCTTAGCTAGTCTGTGAGAGAGGGATCATTGTTTAATTTTATACTTTGGGAAACTGTTACCTGGTGGAGAGGGACTGTCCCAGGATGACGCCCACAGTCTAGACCCACAGCCCATGGATTCAGCTGCCATACAGTCCTGTGTCCCAGGATGAGTCCCACAGACCTGGGTTTGGATTCTGGCTCCAGCTTTCACCCATTATGTGACCTTGGGTAAATTATGGAATTCCCCTGAGCCTCAGCATCCTCACCTGTAAAATGGCTCTGAATAATAGTACCAACCTTCCAGGTGATTCAATGGGACAATTTTTTGGAAAGTGCTTATCACTGTGCCTGGCACATAGTGACTACCCAGTAATCGTAGTTCCATTTCTCTGCTCTGAGAGGTGGAGGAGGAGCAGATTCCATCCCTGGTCCCAGTTGGCCTTACTTGTTACTTTTGGAGAAGATGAAGCTATCCCACAGGGACTCTAGGAAGGACTTATAGTATCCAGAATCCTCATTCATCACAGTCCCAATCATCTTTACTGCTCCTTTGCTCAGCATCCCTTCCTTCACCAAGTAAGCCTGTGGGGAGGTAGAAGCTCCAGATGGAGGGCCCCACATGTAGGAAGGGGCTTCAGCAGGGGCCTAGGGCAGGCAAGGGGCAAGACTGGACTCCAGGAAAGTGAAGACTTTGGTAGTGGGAAGAGAAGGTCCTTGTCATCAGGGGACAACCCCAGGGGGCTAGGCTGAGCACAGACCCCTTCCACCCTTATCCTGGGACTTCTGTGCCTCACATACCTTGGTGGAGTAAGAATCATAAAAGGACAGCAGGTGGCTGCAGTTGAAGTTGTTCAGATTTTCTTTGAGCTGCAAAAGGGGAGAAAGGGGAAGAGCTGAGATTAAAGCCACAGGGCCAGTGGCAGGACTCCTGCCTTCTCTGGATGTCCCTTTAAAGAGGGGAGGAACAAGGTGGTGGGGGAATGGAAAGACCAGGGGAAGGATGCTGCCAAGAGCTCCTAAATGTTCCTTTTTCCTCCTAAGTCTCCCTTTCATTGAAGGACCTTTGGAGACTGAAATTTAAGGGAAAGACATTCACTGCAATCCAGGAAGATTGATTCGCTACCGAGGACTGGGTTATCTGGTGATTCCCCTTCCTTCCACTGTCACCATCAAGCAGTAAGCCATTGGACCACCAGGCACAGGGAAAGAGATGGGGCTGGGCACTAGGGACAGGGTGGCAACATTCTTAGGGGACATTAGAGGAGAGACCAATCACAAGGGTGCTGGAATGGGAACCAGGCCACTTGGGTCTATCCGCTAACTTGCCAGGGGACCTGGGGCCAGAACTTGTTCTTTCCCAACCCTGGGAGGGGTGAGGCAGTAGGCACCTTGGCAAGGGACTGGTAGAAGAGATTCATAGGGCTTTTGCCCTTCTCCGTTGGGCTTACGGAATAGCCCAGGACCTCTGGATTGTCCTGGACCTCCCTGGTGCGATAGCGTTGTCCTTTGATGAGGTACCAGGTGTTGCCATCATATGATGTGAACTTGTTCAGCTTCAGGCCAAGCTTCTTGATGTAGGTATGAACCAGCCTGGAGCAGATACAGGTGTAATCATGACACCTCTCCCAGTGACACCTCGTTCCTGCTGGCTTGACTATAGAGGCCATTTCCAGGGAAACGAGTTTCTTCATGTGCCCAGGGAGCTCGGACTGTTTTTCAACTCTAACCCTGCTTCCTCATGTTGTGGTATTAATTCTTTTCCTTCTGTTTTTGCCCCAAGGAAGATCGTGAGGACAGAGTTTACCCATCACCCAAGGAAAGCCCTGTAAGAAATCCCTGAGTACAGGACTTAAGTAGAGACCAAGGCCTTTAGTTTCAGACAGTATTTGAAATCCCATCTTCCATTTCTAAGGAAGGTGAGACCAAATCTAAAGACTCCTAGTTTGGGCTGGTTCCTTTTGTTTTTGTTTTTGTTTTTGGTGGTGTTTGGGACTTGGGTTCAGTTTACACTTAAGGCAAAAAAGTAATCATATTTTTGGAGGTCTGTGGGACACCGGGCGAAGGATCTCTTTTGTCTTAGAAGCCTCAGAACCAGGGGCTGGGTTCTGTTCCAGGAGCCAGTTAGAGCGTAGGGGTTGAGTGTATGTTTTTGGGCCAGTTGCCTCCTTGATTTTGAAGAGGAGCTCTGTCACTTTCTCCTAGGAGAACCTTGAACGAGTCACTTAATATCTCTGAGCCCAGTTTTTTGATTTGTAACTGGGAAAAATAAGAGGATCAGATGAAATAATGCACATGTGGCATTCAGCACGGCACTTGGCACATAGAGATGCTCAACAAATGTCAGCTGATAGGATTATTATTATTACTTTGTAGTCTAATGGGGTATAATTGACGTATAAGAAGCTGTCCATATTTGAAGTACACCATTTGATGAATTAATGGTAACTATTATTATTAGTCTGGGACCTACCACTTTCTGTGTGACCCTGGGCTCTGAACCTCGGTCTTCCCTGTCAAATGGGAGACCAGTGTTGGTCCCAACTTGCAGGATTGAACCACATGAGACAGTGGATCTGAGAAACTCTGACACTATAGCAGCAAGGGCCCCTGTCCTCCCCTCTCCCCACCACCTCATTCCTCTTGCTTGCCCTTTGCCCATTCCTTCCCTGGGACTTACCTATGGGACTTTGGGATTCGCATGGGCCCCAGTTCATGGTACCAGCCCTCCTTCTCGTTCCTGAATGTGCTGACTCGACCCCCGATGTGGTGGCTGGCTTCCAGGATGGTTACCTGGGGTCCAGAGGACCTGCTGTTGTTCTCAGCATCATGCTTTCCCTTCTCCCACCCCGTACACCCATCTCCATCCCGCCACAGGCTGTAGTCCGGAATTCCCAGCAGTAGGTGCCTTGAATGTGCAGAATAACCAGATGGAGGCGGGGAGGGTCCTGAGTAATGTAAGTGGGGCAGAATGCTCCATGGGGGGCCGAGTGCCTCTTGGCCTTTTCTTGTTCGCACAACCCTTCTCCACTTTGCTTCCATGAGAACACAAGTGCAGCTAGGGTCAAGTCTTGGGGGAGCCTGGAGTTTAGAGGAACCATAACTAAGGGCTAAGAGACCCAGCCAGTTATGAGCAGCCATCTAAGAGCTGGCTGTATCCTCTCTCTTTTTCTTTTCCCGCCCAAGAAAGCAAACTGGAGGCAAAGGATTGAAACCCCTCCAAGATCTGCTCACCTGGTGGCCAGCATCCTGGAGGGCCTTGGCCGCCACCAGGCCTGACATACCAGCTCCCACTACTACCACGCGCTTGGGCACCGGGGAGGTGTGGAGTCCCTCCTGCGCCGTGACAAGACTGGACTCATATTCGGGGTCCTGAAGGCACTTGGCCAGGTCCTCCAAGTAGCCAAGGCAGCTGGGAGTAGCCAGTAGGAGCCCCAGGATCAGGATTCCTGTGGCGGAGAAGGGAATTGGGGGCTGTCTTTCTGGAGCCCAGGCTCTACGTGCTGCCCTACCCAGGAGGAGCGTGGCCGTGTGAACGAGCAGGGGTGGTGCTGTGAAACAGTATCTGTCAAGTGTGGGGTTGTAAACATGTGCGTTTCTGATTGTGTCTATGTGGGGGCAATTGTGTTGTGTGCGGTACGGCTGGATGTGTGAATTGTGCTGGTGTTAGTTGTGCGATGGTAAATGTGAATGCGTGTGTTCATGTGTGTGCACGTGACTGGAAACTCATGAGTGTGTCCAGGGTCAGCTCTGACTGTGAATATGCCTGCTTCTGATGGTGAGTGTGTGTGTGTGTGTGTGTGTGTGTGTGTGTGTGTGTGTGAGCCTGTCTGTGATGTAAGTTGCAGCGATCATGAGTTTGTGATTGTTGCCCTGTAAGACTGGGCATCATCTGTGATTTCATGGGAGGGAGTGTGTCTGTGGCATGGTGTGGACCCCTGAGCAAATGTGTGGATGAATCTGTATGGGACAGCGAGGTGGGTGTGTGTGGCCTGGGTCCGAAGAGTGAGCGTGACATGCATGCATTTGCTGGAGTTTGAGAGGGCAAGTGGTTGCCGGTGTTCTAGTGTGTGATTCTGTGAGTGTGTTTGAGCGTGAAGTTGGGTGGCAGAGCCAGAGGGTGTCTGTGTCCTTTGAGGATGTGTGCATTCGTGAGGGCATGGGTGTGTGAAAGCAAGAGTCTGTGAGGCTCGCTTCTCTTCGGGGGGAGCTGTGATCAGTTTCTTAGTGGTGTCGCCAGTGCCCCATGGGACCTTGGCAGGCCCACTGCTCTTCTCCAGCCTCACGGTATTCTTTCACATCCCTCCAGCTTTCCTCAGCCAAGATGGGAAACTGTAGTTAATACGTAACACACAATGAGTCCAGAGTGACGTGGTTTTCGTCTCCACAATGAACTGCTCTGATGCACAAAGAGATTCACCTGGGAGTCTGCAACAAGAGGCTGTGTGGCTTCCTGGGTGTCACCTGCTCTGACGGGGAACAGCCAGGAGCTGTGATGCACTGTACCCCCTTGCACCAGCCCTATAGGATTTGGGGGTGGGTGAGAACCCCCTTAGTCCAGGCTTTGTCCATGCCGGCCACCCGAGGCGCACTGAAGGAAAGGGATCTCCAGGGGCCACCCACTGAAGAGGGGCAGGAGACCCAGCTGGCTCCCAGTGCAGGCCCTTCCAAATGCTGGGAGAACCTTATGCAGGGGTGACTCCTCAGAAAAGAAGAGAGGGTGACCATGCACCGTGGCAGAGATCCCCAACCCTCACCCCCTCTCCCCACCTTCCAGGCCTACCTCAACCTCCCAAATCCATTCTTGCCCCTGACAAACTCTCCCATCTCCCTGAGCTACCACCATTCCTGTCTCAGGCCCCATGTCCTTCCCCGTGAATGGGCCCAACCCCCAGACTCATTATCCTGACCTGGACACATTCTCTTGACTCCCTTTCAACACCTGGACCTATGTGCAGCCCCCGATCTAGCCCTGTCCTGTCTCAGTCCCTCTGCTTTTCCTTTTGCATGGCCCTATGCCCAGACTCTCCCTCCAGCCCATCTCAACCCCCTCCCTCCATCTAGCTCCTTGCCCTGTTTCCTCCCTCAGGTGCCTCACTCTCAGATTTAGAGGAGGCACCCCACTTACCCTTCATCTTGGCCATGGCCCTGCAGCTCCTACTGAGTCTGGGGCAGCTCTCCCCCTCCTTATGAGGAGCCAGCTCCACCCCAGCAGTGGCTGGCCGCATCCCACCAGCCTGCCCCCAGGGCTGGGCCAAGCAGAGAAGCCTTGCCTTCCTGGTGAATAGACCATGGTGACTCAGACGATCCCTGGCCTCACCTTCCTCCTGGCCCATCTCCCTTCTGAGGGAAAACCCCTTCTCCCAGCTCAGGCCCCAGCCCCTGGGTACCAGTGGGGAGGCGGGGTTGTGGGAGCCGTGGGCCATCCCAAACCTGCTGGAACCATCTCCCAGGAAATGGGTGAGGACTGAGGCTAAGTGCCTGGGCTGCCTTGGAAGGCCAGCGTCCCGGATCCTGGCCCAGGTCAAAGTTCCCAACTGCTCCCACCAGAGAACGTCTAGTTCTACTGCTGTCTCACTGTGAGCCTTCTGTTCTACTGTTAGTCTGTCCGAGGTGGAGATTCTGGCCAGGAGCTCCCACGGAGGACTGTGCCGGTCCTGCCCTTTTCAGGGGCTCCCTCAGCAGGCTGGGCAGACATCTCTGGCCTGGCCCATTTGCAGTGGGGGAGTGTTTTTTTCCCCCTCTTCCTCTGGGTCCTCTGGGGCTTCCGTAGACACAGGCTGGCTTCTCTGGCACTGGAATTCCTTCTTCTGGGGAATCAAGCCAGCTGGCTGTGACACCAAGACTAGCTCTTTGTTCTCTCTGTATACAGTGTGGGTGGAGACAGGCTGGCTGGTGAGAGAAGTGGACAGGAAGCACGCACCAATCTAGCAGCATGGGGCTGGGGAGGAAGGCAGGTAGGAGCACTTGGCATCAGGGGCACAGGACTCAGATCCTGGTTACCAGGGGTGGCGTAGGGGAAAGGATACCAGCAATGGAGTCCAACAGAACTGGGTTCAAATCTTGCTTTATTATGTCAATGCTGTGTGTCTTAGGGCATAAGGCTTATACCTCTCTGAGCCTGGATTTCTTTACCTGTAGAATGATGCTATAACACTTTCTTTATAGGGTGCCTCAGGATTAAATGAGGTGATATATGTGACGAGCTTGGCATAGCACCTTGCACTCTATAGGCATCTAAACTGACTTCCTTTTTCTCTTTGGAGATAAGGTCTGATTTGATACCAGATCACACACAATCATAATATCTTTCAAAGGGAGGTAATTTCTCCACCACAAGGTGGCCGGAAGAACCAAAGAAAATAACACATGGGGGTTACAGTGTGAATAGCTGGGTTTTAGGCACAGAGCAAGGATTCTTTCTCTCTACTTCCCTTTATTTTTTTGTAATAGCTTTATTGAGATATAATTCACAGACCTTACATTTCTTCCATTGAAAGTGAGTAATTCAGTGGTTTTTAGTGTCTTTACAGAGTTGTGCTACTATCACCATGATCAATTTTTAAAAAAGATTTTATTTATTTATTAGACAGAGAGAGAGAGCACAAGTAAGCAGAGTGGCAGGCAGAGGGAGAGGGAGAAGTGGTTCCCCCACCATGATCAATTTTAAAACATTTTCATTATCCCAAAAAGAAATACGGTACCTGTTAACGATCACTGCCCATTCTGCTTGTCCTCCCAGCCCTAGGCAACTACTATTCTGCTTTCTGTCTCTATGGATTTGCCTGTTCTGGACATTTCCTATGAATGGCATCATACAATATATAGTATTTTGTGACTGGCTCCTTTTGCTTGTATAATGTATTCAAGATTTACCCATGTTGTAACATGCATCAGTACTTCATTCCTTTTTATGACCAAATAATATTCCATTTATGACTGAATAATATTTCATTTATACCATATTTGTTGATCCATTTATCACTTAATAGCCACTTGGGTTTTTCCCACTTTTTGGCTACTATAAACAATGCTGCTCTAAACATTTTTTTGTAAGA